TGAATGTTTGATCTACACCAAAAAACACATACATAAATATAATTTTCGCGAAAGTGATTTAAGTGTCAATGTTAGTAGATTGAAAAAACCCGAAATGGAACCAATTATTATGGTATTAAATCCTATAATTTTTTACCTTTACGTGTTAAGGCAATGAAGGTAGATTTATTTAAATCTTGCATAAAAAACTACCTCATCAATAAAGCTTTTTATACTGATGAATATGTTATGAATAACTGTGGTGATTTTTTTAAATAAATATTAGTGTTTAAATACTGTATTAGTATTCTCTTTTAACCCAATTGTAATTTATATCTATTTTATATTTTGTATACCTACTTATCTTTGTACTTTTATATTTATATATTTTTTTGTTTGACTTGTGTAAAGGTCTTGTATTTCTGGCATTAAAATAAATTTATTATTATTATTTATTTATTAATGGATTTTTGTTTACGCCCAATAAGGGAGGTCTAAACATTTATTTGAAACGTATTTGTTTCTTGTTTGTGACAAAATCAATGCACATCTATCTAACTACTACTTCTACCTATCTACTTTCTTGTTAAATATTTAGTTAAGTTTAATATTATTAAACAATAATATAAACGTTTAAGTAAGTGTTTGTTTACAAATTAATTCTATTCAACCACGTTCTACACCGAAGTGTAACTTAAGTGCAGCCCAACTTTTTATTAAAATGTAAATTATTAATTAAAAAAAGAACTCAAAAAGCCAATTTTTCCAAGACCTAGAAAAAAACGAAAAAAAAAAACAGTTTTTTTAACTTTATAAATCATTCATTATTTTGTAAACGGGTGTTTTCAATGTACTCCCTTTTGCAAAAAGGATCCGGCCGACAGTATATTTAACGTTTCTTATTTTCTTAAATCAATTAAATTTATTTCATTGTTTAGTTTTATTTCTTTTATTTCTGTAATAAAGGATTTTTGTTGTTGATTTCAACTTTTATTAAAATGTAAATTAAAAAAAATCTCAAAAGACCATTTTTCCAAGACTCACAAAAAAACGGAAAAAAACATTTTTTTTCCCAATGTGAGCGTTTTTTATTGGAATATTGGAATATTTGTTATTATTAATATACACAAATGTAAAAAACAATAGTTTTTTTGTTTGCAATTTACTTAAAAAAATTGTATAGGTAATCCATGTTAAATAAAAAATACGTAAAATTTTTAAAATCGGAAAAGATGTTTTGAAAAAGGACCGCCATTTGAAATTTATTTCTTGAAATTTAAAGGAATTTTGTAGTATGCTAAATTAATAACCCCTTATACATAAATTAATTTTCGCAAATGTGTCAGTCATTTGGTTTTTAAAAATTACGAACCAGATTCGTAATCAGCAACATCCAAATTATTATTTTGAAAATATCAACTGTATAAGATAAAGCATTCTATTTTTGTCTTCTTTGATATATAAAAAAAACGAATTGTTAGAACATTGTTTAAAATGATATATGAAAAATAATAACAAAAGTTTGGTCTAAAAGTTATCTACATTGGTGGAAAAAGTTTTAAATTTGTAGTGTGATTATTACAGTCCGTTCAGGCTAAGTTGAGCGCTTTGGTGAGGGATCATGTGGCTGTTAATTAAATTAAACATCGAATCGTCGCGAGATTTCGGTAACAAGAAGATGATTTATCAGTGCCGCGGCTTGCCGTTTGTTCGTACAGAGCGGTTACCGAAATACATGTATTTAATTGTGCCTAAACATAGAGATGATGGACGGGGTGGCATTCCTTAGACCGCTCAACTTAGCCTGAACGGACAGTACTAAATATTATTGAACCAAGCGTATTAGCAGACAGACTTAAACATTAATCAATCAAATTATGATTAAAAAATGACAGTGCAGGACGTTAAAAAAAGAGAGTCAAAAGGAGTACATCGTAGTAGAAAACTCCGTATATGTTTCAGGAATCTCAGTTTAAAGGGACAATATTTGATTTTTTTCAAAACAGCTTTTTTCGAACTTGTAATAGAAATATCTCAATGTACGATTATGGTCAATTTTAAACTGGATAATGTTCATCTGGAAGCTATCTTATGTATTTTTGTCTGCTTCCACCTTTAAAAGGCCCATTATCGTACATGTTTCCATGACACTAAGTGACCTTTTAAATACACATTGACAAGTTATGGCGTTTTAGTCATGGTCTGAAGTAGGCAACAGGTTTTTGGTCACGGGCTGAATTTAGTTTTAAGTTAGTTGACAGTTGTCAAATCTCATACAATTATTAAAATAAAATCAATTTCTTTTAAAATATTCACTTCTAAGAGAAAACTGCGAAGTTTTTTAACGTTCACAATAGCAGATTCCTTGGGCGTGAAAAATTATATTTAAAAGAAAAAAAGTACAAGTAAGAATAAAAAGTACAAGTAAGAATAAAAATATTGTAGGTAAATGTTTCAGTAAAAATTACAAAACACTAGTAGTTCATTTAGTGTGGAAACTCATTGGTCTTGCTGTGCAGCCGTTGAAGTGCAGCCATGAAAATATAAAACCACCTTTTTCAATTTAAATAAAAAAATTTAGAAAGGGAAATGTTGGGTATAATCAGGGATTAATTAGAATAAATAAATTGCTATATTGCTATATTTGTAGCGTCACTCCTGACAGATCCCCTAAGTTTACTCTCAATTTCGATAATTTTAACTACATATATCTCTGCCCAAAACTATACTTTATATAGTTTACAGGTAGCAATTTGAAGCCATTTTTCATCTCAATGATATAACTTACCAATTCTTATAAAAAAGCATGATACATTGCTTCTAAATATATCGAAAGTATAGCAAATGCGTTACAATCTGCCGACTGTCGACATTTTTTAGGATTGCGTTTAACATTTAAGAAGTCGGGATAAGGATGAATTTCTACACTTTAAAACAGAAATATTTGTTGTTAATAAGGCACGTTAACTATAGCTATTAACATATGGTTGAGTTGCATATGGCTAAATAAATATTAATTTGTGTCGAAAAACTTGTTTAATGGAGTGTACTGGGGTTCAAAAGGAAAGAGCTTAATTTTATAAAAAAAAATTGCTAAAGACAATGATTTTAAACCGATTCTAGTAGATAAGTTGGTAAATAAAATTAAATTTAAGTCTCGCCTTTCTAGGTTAACGACTTTTCAAACAGAGCTCACAAAAGTCAAGTTTATGACCATTCCTTTCGAACACTCGAGGTCTGGAACGGATTTTTCGAAAACTTTATTTCAAATTTGCTTTTAGTTCAAGCAGTAACACACTCCAGACCCTTTTAGATAAGATTTCTAAAATTGAACAGTCGAGGATCTAAGATTGTGTCAAGAAATATATTGGACAAAATAAACGATTCATCCAAGTAAGGTTCAAAGGGAATTTTAGCCATGCTAGATTTGGTAGGACAGAGAAATCAAGTGTTTCCCAACATATACTTGATGATGGTCATAGAATAGGATTTGACAACCTTAAACTTATTAAGGAAGTTAGGGATGTCTGCTAGATAGTTATTTATACATGTTTATACATCTATAAGAATGGAAATAAATCTTTAAATAGGGATAACGGACCAGTACCCAAATCTAGTTTGTATAGTTTCTCTTTACTTATTTACTGAAGCGGTTACGGTCCACAGTTTAGTAAACTGTGTCCGTTCACGGTTCAGTCAACCTTAGCTTATAATAAGTATAAATATTGTAATGTTTTTATAGTTTCGTAGTGTGAATTATAACACGCAATGGTTTATTAACGAACTAAACGATTTATTTTATAACTTACACTTAAAATACTTAGAAATTATAAAACTAAACACTTAACTACTAATTATTTATATATCACTGTACAAGGTCTATTTATTTGCACGTATATTTATTTTACTTTGTCCCGAGTACCAAAACTTAACTGACTGCTCCATGCTTGGCTATGCCTTATATATTCAGTTCCTACGTGACACACGCAAGCGCCTTCCCGATCATTCCAGCGAGCTTCGGTGTGCTCTCGATCGCTCGAACGCTGACTCACCGGCGATGAGTCATCATTCCGAGATCCAGAGGGGTACTCGCTATATTGCCCCCGTCTTAAAACATTTTCGTCCTGAAAATGGTCCTCAGCTCCATAGCGATATTTGCATAGAGATCCAAACTTGCATTATGACATCCTATAGAAGTAGCAGTCTACGGTCTTCCTTTCGGTTGTTCTTTTAGGGTTATGGCAACATACAAGAATGTGTATGCAACTAAATCTGAAGATAACTTCCACCATACTTCTAATTATTTTCCAGTCTTAACCGTCGAGTCCACAAGCAATCTTTGGTATCGCCAGGTTTATGAAGTCCTTGGACAAAAGGGAATCCCTCAATTTATTTAAGACATTCCATACGTCACGGTAGTTTGGCTTCTGATGGGAGAGCTGCTTCGTTAGCAGATAGAAGATACTTATGTTGCCCATCTGCTCATTATCCACAATTTCAAGCTCCTCTCCAACTTTGGGATTCTGCCTTCGTAGCTCGTCGACCTGTCCAAACTTGTTTTTAAAGACAACCGCTATTCCCCTGGACATCCTAAGGTCTTCTGCAATACAGTGAGCCAAGGAGAAATAGGCCGAAACCGTGAACAGATCTTGTTGTTCTTTTCGAGTGACACCATACCGAGCTTTTTTACCGCTTGAATATAGATACATGAAGTCTTCAAAAGGCAACTCGCCTTCCGGTGGTTTAACCCGTCTTACTCTAGAATCGTTTATTTGGTCACTGGCACTTTGGATGTTTAAAGGAACTCGACTGTAAATGTCACTTATTTTCCTAAGTAAATTGCCTCCAGCAATATCTGCCCCTGGTAGGCAACCAAACCTCAGGTCACAAGGTAGACGAAGTTCACGTCCCATAACAATGCTAGCGGGTGTCTGGCCGGTTATATCGTGGATAGAAGAACGGTACGCCAACACGAACAGATGGAGAAAGCAGTCCCAGTCTCTTTGGTGATCAGAGACTACCTTCGACAGGTACCGGTTTATCGTTCGATTCATTCGTTCCACCATGCTACAGACTGCGGATGTAATGCGGTCGTCCTCGTTTTCCGAATATTAAGAATCTTACAGACATTCTGGAACAATATAAATTCAAAGTTCCTGCCTTGGTCTGAATGCATCTCCATTGGCACACCAAAACGACAAATTCACTCCTTAATAAGGGCATCGGCCAATGTGGCAGCTTCCTGGTTTGGCAAGGCGTACGCTTCCGCCCACTTACTGAAGTAGTGCATTACAACGATGATGTATTTATTTTCAGATTCTGTTTCTGGAAATGGAACCGCCAGGTCGATTGCAATTCTCTTAAATGGGCTGCCCACATTGTACCGTCGCATTGGAGCTCTTGGGCGCTTCTGGGGTCCATTGCTTGCCGCGCAAACAGCGCACTCCTTGCACCATTTCTTTACATCTTCTTGCCGACTGTCGAATGGGCTCTTAATTTTATGCTGGACAGTTCTTGTCCTACCCTTCTTTCCTTGTCCGTCGTCAAAGACTTCCTGATAATTGTGAATCAGCTCTCTCAGATTTCTTCTTTTATTTGGTTTTAAATCCTTTCAATTCATTGCTCACTTTCTTGGCCTGGACTGCAGACTCACGAATGCCTATAATTATTGAGGAAACCGAAGAACAGTTTTCCAAAACGATTCCTTTCTTCAAGTTCACAGAGTAACCATTACCATTTAATACTCTTACAGGCACATTATTTTCAACACGTATTTAAGTTTTCCCTACTATAATTCCTTGACCGACCTCTTTATCATCAATTCTCGGCTCAGGCAGCATTATACTTCCATCTTCTGATTTACAATCCAAGAAAGCCTTCAATATCATCTCGCTGTGTTCCGGTATCAAAGCATCTTCTGTTACCATTACATGAATATTCTTCTCTTTCGATCGATGCAACACGACTTCCTCTCCATTTACATTCAATATTCCTTGTTGAAAGTTTAGTTCAAATCCTATTATATATAGAGTTCATAAAGTCCATGCCTACAACTTCATCTTCAATATCTGCTACTAATGCTCGATGTTTAAATTTCGTGTTTCCTACACGAACAGTAGCGGTATCTTCAGTTGACATGTCGACAATATCTTGCATAATAATTGTCTTCGTCGCACCTGTATCCAGCAGCAGCATATGTGATTTTCCGTTAATAAAACCATCCCACTTCTGACACCAATTGTAACGTTTTTATCGGTTCGTAGTGTGAATTAAAACACGCAATGGTTTATTAATGGACTAAACGATTTATTTTATAACTTAATTACACTTAAAACACTTAGAAACTATAAAACTAAACACTTAACTACTAATTATTTATATTTATTTTATTTCGTCGCGAGTACCAAAACTTAACTAACTGCTCCATGCTTCGCTGTGCCTTATATATTCAGTGCCTACGTGACATACGTCACGTAAGCGCCTTCCCGAACATTCCAGCGAGTTCCGGTGTGCTCTCGATCGCTCGAGCGCTGACTCACCGTCGATTACTCATCGGCGATGGGTCATCATTCCGATATCCAGAGGGGTACTCGCTACAATAGATTTTGCAGTTAGATTTAGTTACATTTCGCTTTTGAAGATGCCAATGATGCATCGCGATTCGCGATGTTGGTATTAGTTTAAGAAGTTTGTGTTTTGTTTTGGTGTTGGGGTATTCTAATATTTGTTTAAATCAAGAATCCCTAAGAGTAGGCAAAGAAAATAGAAATGTTGGGTTTGAGTTCAATGGAAAAGAAATTATTCCTCTCTATGATGGCCGTACCTATTTAAAGGAAATAAATTTGTTAGATTTTGTAATTGCACTAATGAGAAACTGTACAAGTGTTTAGCTTATAGTATGTATTTAAAAAAACAAAAAAATAAAAAGTAGATGTTTCAAAATTGTTTTTTATTTAAATAAAATGATTGTTAAAAATTGTCTATCTAATTACGTGATTTTAATAATTTTGAATTGTTTTAAATCTTATAAAATTATTTTTAATAATTTTAAATCCCAGCTCAGTTCAGAAGTACCTAGCTCCATCGCCACATCGCGGTGTGCTTTGCGCAAGCTTATGTTCTGCGATCGGACCCCATGCGACAATTGTAGACCCGGCTTTACTCAGTAGGCACCACAGAATGTAGTCTATAGTGTTAAGAGGCACAAAACAACGCAACCTTATATAGGGTGGAGAATAAGCCAAAGATCCGAGATGTATGCATGCAGTATAAATTCATTGTATATTAATTGTTAATATATCACATTTTCCAAAAAATCAATCGTTTATTTGTCTAAAACACTATTACCTGACGATATTAAAATATTTAGAATATAATTTGTTTACTATTAGAATTTAAATAAATGTTCTCGTCTACGATCCATTTTGTTTCATTTGACTTATAGTAAGACTTCTTATTAAGAAAAGAAACTTATAAGTCCTAAACAAAACTGAAATAACAATATTTAATTTAACAGTAAACAAACAGCGGCAAACTTGATTTAAAGTATTTGAAAATTATTATATTACCGAAGAAGATTTAGCAATTTTTTTCTATTTTGTTTTTCTCAAAAGATGTAATTACATATTTATGTTGAAGCAATGTACTAAAAAAACAGTTTTAACTTTGATGCCCTGTACTTCCATAAATTATAAAGGTAAAAAGTATGAAAAAACAGGGTAAATGGACGATAAAAATATTGTTATATTTTGATTACCCAGTAATACTGGGCCAGTATTATGTATTTCAGAGATAAAAAATAGGGCAATATACCGCATGAGTAAGTATGAATAACATATCTAACTGCGGGGGTTGTAGTGAGGTATTTTGCGTGTGAATTTAAACACTTGTGTTGATCGTAGTACGTTATTTATTTACAATAAAAATAGTGGTGTAACTTACAACAGCGTTTAAGTTGGATGTCGAGGCCCGATAGTCTGGAACTTACTGAATGATGTCGACCAGATGGTGGAACTGGGTTCACTGAATTGAAATGACTGAGTTCTGAGTTTAGGACAGGACTAGGTTTTATATTTTAGATACAAGTAGTTCGGCCTTTACGTGCTTGTTGTACGTCGACCTGAAATTTGGGGCTAACGCAAGGGCTTTCCAAATTGTTGGAATTTTGGATATTAATTAGGCTAGAAATTCTTCGAAGGATAAGGAAATGTTTATGGTATTGTGAAGTTTGGTTGTGGGATTATTTTATTGTTGGTAGGAATAAATGTGAGCCTCGACAATCCGTACATTTTGTCACGTAATTGTAATTAAAATGTTTTATACTTTTGCCTGTTTTTATGGTGTTTGTTTGCCTGAGTAGTGGAGGTAATGCCGCTACACTAACCTATTGCAGATTTTTTATAAATTTTGTTTTTAAGGAAATTTACATATAATACCAGTTAATGAGTCAAGAAAGGTTTTTTGAAGAAACTAAGAAAATTAAGTGTTTAGTTAATTTTAACATTACTAATTATTGTTATTAGATACTAAGACATTTTTTGTTTTAGCACCAAAACTTTTTTTTAATAAATAAAACTAACAAAACTAGATTACTGCGTTAATTTATCAAATATTTATTTAAAAAATTTATAATTATTAAACACAATTATAAAAAAACAAAAATCTAACAAAAGAAAATTATAAAAAATTACATATTTTATTAACTTTTTAATATGCAATCTATAAAATATCTTTATGAGACTCAGAACTAAGCTTGGAATTTATTTTTAAAGTGATTACCATTTCCAAAAGTTTAGGTTTTGAATAATTTATAGATTATATATTAAAAAAGCTAATAAACTATGTATTTTTATATTATTTTAATATATTATTAATATTACACTGTAGGGAGGTGAAAATATCACAGCTAAACGCTCGGACACGTAAACTTAATTTTTGGTAGTAGATTACAAATCCATCATACTTGGTTTAGCTGTATCAGGTCAAAATTCAAATTATTTAATTTTCAAATTTTGGAGAATTTCACCCTGTATAAATTTAAAAAATATATAATTTTGCTGGACCCCCACATCAGTTCCAAATTTAAAAAAAAATTAATTCTTACAAAATTTGAGTTTAACTGATCAAAAGAAACACGTATCCCTGAGTTTTTTTTCAATTCAAAATGTTTTTTTGCAGATTATTTTTATTGAGTATAATTGGGGATATTAAATTATATTATATTAAACGAAATAAAAAGCAAAGGAATATTGGCACAAGAGGTGAAATATATTATTTTACAAATATTAATATACCAGTATACAGTGTGTCCCCGGATCGGATTACCAATAGGAAAAACTTTTTTAGACCTGATACAGCTAAACCGAGCAGGGTGAGAATTCGTAAAACGGATCACAGTTTTCCCGACTTTACTGGCCCTGGCGCTCGTGCGCGCTCCCGACGCGTCGGACGGGTCGCGTCGCGACGCGACCCGTCCCATTGCGATGCGTACTTTATTATCAATAACTCTGCTATACTATACTATCAAGTACTTTTGTGATCTAAAATTGCGATGATAAACCTTATAATATTAATATTATGGACTCAAACTTTCACCATAATTTTTTTTGTCACACCAAACAATATTTTCGATATACTTTCCAAAAAAAAAAATGTCGATTTTTTTGGCCCAGTCTAATATATATCCAGGGTGTATCACGGTCGATGGTAGGTTAGACGTTTATGGATAACGGCAAAAGATATCGAATTAAAATTTTTATAGCAATTATAATATCATTTAATATATTTTTATAAATTATTTTGAACAAAATTCCTCTTCCGGTTTTAACGGAAGCGATATCAACTTAGTTATTTTAAATGTATGAGGCGCCGTTTGGGCCAATATAAAATTAAGTATTTATATATAAATTTTTATATTTGATTGAAAATATTCTCGATAAATAAAAGACTTTAATTGTGTGATTTAAGTTTACTTGTGATTAATTTATTTTAAAGATTTCACAATATACCGTGTGCAATGAGGGCACCACTTTAATGTTGGAAATTTCCATCCTTGATTGAAAATGTT